CTTCCGATCCAGAAACTTCGACACTGCGTAAGAAACCCACGATTTGACAGAACCAGTCGTCATCTTTGCCGCCTCCATGTAAATCCTGACGAGGTCGTTCCGACAGTTGTTCAACTTCCCAGTGATATCTCTGCCGCGTTCTGTCAAAATCCTCAGCCCGTCGAGGAACGTTTCGTCGCCGTGCAAATCCTGTTCGAGAAATCTCTTGGCGTAATCGCGATTCTCCTCCGCATATTTCCCGATGAGGTCGGCGATACCTGACAGCGCAGCGGAGGCGGTGTGGTAGTCGCGCATGAAATTCAGAAACCGAGTCCGAGATTCAGTTCCGGGATCTTGGGAGAGATGTGTCGACATTGTTGTTTAGGACAGAAACTTTGAAAGAGATGTTTGTGGGGAGTGAGTTTGAGATATGGAGCTTTCTCACCCCACGTTGTCTATTTATACAGTGCCCGCGGTAAAACTTTCCATTTTTTTACCGGCAGAGGTAAAGGAAGCTTTCCTTTTCGTTTTTTTATATATCGGTGGAGTTAAAGGGCCAAAGCTTTTTTTTTTCTTTTGTAAGTTTAAAGTTTCCATTTTTCTCTTTTATTTCTATCCGAACCAACTTTGTTTTCCTCACCGAAATGTTAAATTTCATTTCTTCTCCTTTTTTTTTCCTTTTGAGAATCTGATTCTTTTTTCAAGATATATCATATTGCCTTTATGTTAAATTAACGACAAAATCTTATATATTTATTCCTTTTTTTTTCAAGATATAAATTTTGCGACAAAATCTTATGTTAAACAGTTAAAGGGAGACAAAGCAACTAGGATTTTCCGGTATTATGTTCAGCGTTCAAACTTATAGTTCCGTTATTTTGTCGTTAAATTCTGCATTCTCAACTGATTATAATTTAGTATGATTATCGAATTAGTTTGTAATTCTGCCATTTTAATTTCTTCTCCGCTATTTTTTTCAGACGATGGAATCCGTTACGCTAACGGTTCATATTGGAAATTGCGAACGGTTTTTGGAGTTTGTATATTTTGTTGATATATGGAATATTTAATATATTTATCAATTAAATTAAAAGTTTTGTAATTTTTTTTAGTAGATATGGAAAAGTCCACAACCCATTTTTTTTATCTAAATGGTAAGATAGATCAATCCATGAACTATTTTTTATAGAGTCAAAAAATATAAAATATGCAAATTAATATTTTACCTGAATACGAGTTGGATATCTAAATTTTTTTTAAGGTATTTAACCTCAAATTCGAATCCGATGAGTTATATATTTTAAAATTTGAATTTCAACTTGAGTTTAAAATTTGAATTTCAACTTGAGTTTTCGAGTACCTAAATTGCATTATCAGTATTACAATGTTTGGATATGATAAGTGAACACGATAAATTTTAAATATATTTTGAATAAAACTAAAAAATTATAGATTATATACAAACAATTTATAAATTTTTTGAAGAATATCCAAAATAATTAGATCATAAATCAATAATTTTTTTATTAAATTAAAGATAAAAACAATTAGATATTTTCTAATAACTCAAAAAATATAATGATTATTTTTTATATCCGAATACCCGAAGATAATTACTCGACTCGAAAATATAAATTCGAACCCAAATTTAGGACTTTAAAAATATTAAAACTCGATCTCTATGACGGTGGAAATATTTTTTCTAACTATTTTCACATCATTTATATTAATTTTAAACTAATTATTATTTTTTTTCTTTTTTTATTGGAAGTATTGATAAAAAATATGATTTTTTTAAATTTGGTAAATAAATATATGAACTTTTATTTTGTTTTATAAAAACACACAAATTTTGAAAGGTTTCATATAAGTCTACACAAGGTGCATAAAAATATACAAATTTTGAAAATTTTCACATACACCAACACAAAAAACCAATTGAGTTTAATGTTTTTTTATAGATTTACACAAAAAAAATTTAAAGTTTGTGTATTTTTATAAAAAAAAAAATAGAAATTTATATATTTATTTACCAAATTTAAAAATTCATATTTTTTTCAATATTTCATTTTTTATATTTTGATTATAATCTAATTATTATTTTTAATTTATAAATAAAAGAAACTTTGAATCTTATAAATAATTCAATTATCTATAACAAGTAAATCCCATTATTTTGAGTTATTTTTTATTTTGTGTGACGAATTATATATAGATAGTTCTTAATCGAAATATATAAATTTTAAATATTATGATTTTTATTTGATTTTGAAGTTTATTAATTAAAAAATGTCTTTAAATCAAATTTGAACTAGAAAATAGAGGTGGGTTAAAAATTAGAATAATAAAATTTTAATAGATTCGGATCGATAAATAAAAATAAACGCCAAAATAAATAAGTTTTGAAATATTATAAAAAATATAATTTAATCGAAACCGAAATCAAAATCAAAGTAATCCGGAACGAATATAGATATTACTTAGTTTCATTGATATGAAAACAGGTTACCGAAATTAATGGGTAAACCGAATGGGGCACGCGAGATTGAACCCGAAACCGTTACCGCTCTCATCTGCTTCAGCCATCGCGGGTTCCTGCGATTCTCGCCCAAATCGGAAGTTGTTTCGTTTCCTCTTTTGGAAGCTCGAAGATCTCTGCGGAAATGGCGGACGAAGCAAACAGATCTGTGAGTATGATGGATTAATCTTTATTTTCCTGGAATGTGTTCTGTTTGGCGGCCGAGAATATTTCCGTGGAAAAAAGTGTTTGTTTAGAGTTTCCGATGTATGAAATGCAGGCTTTCATGGAGATTCATGGCCGCATGGATTGAACTTACTGGGAAACTGAAACAGGTACAAAATTTTCCCATCCGAATTTTAAGATTTGATTATTGGTTTCTTAAGATAAAGCATAGCGTTAATCTTCTTCCTCGTCCTGTGAAAACGACCATATTTTCCGTAAAACCCTAATTTTGTGGCCGAAATTCGCCGCTTGAACCAAGGTAAAAGCGGTTGCTCTGATGGAGCCAAAGCTTCCCTTCAACTTTGTTTGAGATTGGATTTACTTCTCTGTATGTGAGCACCTTCCTTTGTAGTAGCATGTATGACGATGAAAACTTGTGTTCACGATGCTGGATTGTTATATTCATGAAGACACTAAACATTCAATGCATTATCCTTCAACTCACAACATACACAAAACACCAAACAGTAGCAAACGAATATCATATCTATATTAATTATATACTTAGAGGTCGAGTCTGTTTTTGAACAATCTTTATATATATAAAGATTGACATGGGTGGGGATATTTGGTAAGAGATGGTACTCATTCCCGCAGGGCCTTGTTGATCTGTTCCTTCATAAGTTCCTGAAAGGCCTTCTTAACCCGTTCCCTCATCTGTTGTTTCATCCGTTCCGCCAGCGATTGAGAGCGCGCAACCATGATGGTGAGGTGGATGACGCACTCCACGTCTTTTAACCAGGGTAAAACCATTCTCATGGTCTCTCTTTCGTGTTTCAGATCGGAATGCTTCTTCTGATCCAGAAACTTTGACATTGCGTAAGAAACCCGCGATTTGACAGAACGAGTCGTCATCTTTGCCGCCTCCATGTAAATCCTGACGAGGTCCTTCCGACAGTTGTTCAACTTCCCAGTGATATCTCTGCCGCGTTCTGTCAAACTCCTCAGCCCATCGAGGAACGCTTCGCTGCCACGCAAGTCCTGTTCGAGAAATCTCTGGGCATAATTGCGATTCTCCTCCCGCATGTTTCTGGATGAGTTCGGCGATATCTGACAGTGCAGCAGAGGCGGTGTAGTAGTCGCGCATGAAACTCAGAAACCGAGTCCGAGATTCAGTTCCGGAATCTTGGGAGAGATGTGTCGACATTGTTGTTTAGGATAGAAACTTTGAAAGTGAAACTGACTACTGACTAAGAGATGTTTGTGGGGGTGAGTTTGAGATATGGAGCTTTCTCACCCCACGTTGCCTATTTATACAGAACCTGCTCGTACAAACTTCCTTTTTTTTTTGGCGGTAAAACTTTCCATTTGTTTACCGGCAGAGGTAAAGGCTAAAGCTTTCCTTTTTTTTTATCGGCAGGCCAAAGCTTTCCTTTTTTATTTTGTGTTTTTTGCTTTTGTAAGTTTAAAGTTTCCAATTTCCCCTTCTCTCTCTATCCAACCCATTGAACCCAACTTCGCAAATGTTAAATTTTCATTTCTTCTCCTTTTTTTTTTTCCTTTTGAGAATGGGAATTTTTTTCAAGATATATCATATTGCATTTACCGAGAAAATCTTGTTAATATATTTATCATATATTTTTTTTTCAAGATATATCACCGTTTAAACTTATAATTCTGCAATTTTTGTCATTAAATTCTACATTCTCAACTAATTATAATTTAGTATGATTATCGAATTAATTTATTATTCTGCTATTTTCATTTCTTCTCCTCTTTCTTTTTTTTCCTTTTCAGAGTGGGGGATTTTTTTTTGGCGACGGAGGAATCCGTTGCCACAACGATTCATATTGGAAATTGCGTACGGTTTTTGGAGTTTGTATATTTTTTTTTTGTAAACGAGTTTGTATATTTTGTTGATATATGGAATATTTAATATATTTATCAATTAATTTAAAAGTTTTGTAAATTTTTGATATATACGGATATCCGAACAAGGTGAATTTTAAATATATTTTGATTAAAACTAAAAAAAATCATAGGTTACATACATATAATTTATAAAATTATTAAAATGTATTTATATTCAAAATAATTAGATCATTAAAACGATAATTGTTTTTATATAAATAAAGATAAAAATATAAGATATTTTTAATAACTCAACAATATAATAGAAATTTTTTTATCTTCGTAATTATACGATCCAAAAATATATACTCGAATCCGAACACAAATTTCGGGTTTTAAAAATATTAAAACTCAATCTATATCTAATTATAAGGCGAACACTAGAGATATTTCCCCAAACTATTTTCTCATCATTTATATAAATTTTAAACTAATTATTATTTTCTTTCTTTCCTTTTTTACTTTTTTTAAATTGTAATCTAATTATTATTTTTAATTTATAAGTAAAAAAAGTTTTGACTCTTATAAATAATCCAATTATCTATACAAGTAAATCTCGTTAATTTGATTTTTATTTTATTTTATGTGATTAATTATATGTAGCTAGAATTTGCTGGATATTTTATAATAAACGGTTGATTAGATTTTAATATCTCAGAGATTCATTTATATATATATTACGAACACGTGTATTGCGAATATGGTGTAAGAGTTTAATACTTGTAAATAATAGCTAATGAATTGTATAATGTGTTATGTGTAGTTGAAAAAACGGTATGTTCGGTTTAGAACGTAAAGATCAAAGTTTGAGACGACGATCGTTCGATTGTGGAATACGATAGGTCGATCGTGTATTTGGAAAAAGAATCTCAAATTACTTACAGAGCACAATCGGTCGATCGTCGGGTGATGATCAATCGATCTTGGTCTCAGACAAAATTTGATCAGACGACACGATATGTTGATCGTCTCTAACGATAGGTCGATCATGGACATGATAGATTGATTCTAGTCTCGAAAGGAAGAACATTGACACACGATACATTGATCGTTTTGGATGACAAGTCGATCGTCGTAAAATCTGCACAACCGTTTAAGCGAAAAATCGTGTTCGGTCGGTGAAAACTACATAGATTTCGAATCCTTTCGACATTTAGTGTTTTATAAAAGCACTAGAAGCCTAATAACATAAAAGAGAACATATTGGAACAAGATCTGAATGATTTTGTGAGAGATTTTAAGTTTGTTTTTGCACATAGTAGAAAACTATTAGAAAAAAACTATTGGAAGAGTTTATTTGTTTTTTTAAAATACAAATTTCTATTTGATAATTATCGAAAGGGTAAACTCAAATTATTGATTCTTTATTATATAATCTCATTTATCCCGTGTTTATAGAGTAACATTTTTAGAAAAATGATTACATACATTGAATTCAAATCTGAATTCTCTATCATTTCTTACATGTTTTGTAAGGTCGAAAACAAAATTTTTTCGTGTCGTACGTAATTTTACCGAGCACATATGTGTTTTATACTTATCGATTCATATGCGCATCATTTTCAACATTTTTCAGTATTAGATTTCAATCGAAATATATAAATATCAAATATTATGATTTTTATTTGATTTTGGAGTTTTAAATTAAAAATATGTATTTAAATTTAAAAAACCTATCATGCATGATCTTGTAGAAACGTTAGAACGCTTACCTCAATCGATCCGGAGCATGTATCAATTGACGTGTTCGTCCGATCACGTAAGGCAGGAAGGATACCTCACCCTCTACACGTATCCACACGGCGGAAAGGATTCCAACGGTTGGAGCTTGTCTGCTAAGACTGAAGAACACGTTCTTCTTTGCGCAAGGCTTTCAGGGATCTAACTCTTAGGTTTTCAACTCTCAAAAACTCCCCAAAGGGTCTAAAAGTCGTGCCAAGAGGCTTGGGAGGCGTTCCCTAAAGTTAATCCCACTTAAAACCCTAATTAGAGCGAGTTTAGAAAATCGCGACGTTTGGACCGATCGGTCTGGAACATTTTTCGGACCGAGCAACATTTGCACGTTACCTCTGAACCGACCGGTCCACGTGTCTGGACCGATCGGTCTGGCCTCCGCTCCACCGGAATTTTCTCGTCTCTTCTCGCGCAGTTGTCCTTTCCTCTGTGTGTGACCCTGTAGGCTCATCTGATATAGCAGTATTATCCGAAATCTTTTATTTCGGTTACACAAGTCATAGGCGGTCTCTAGCAAGACACTATGACTACCTATCTCGAATAGAGTTTGTTCGTGATCATACGAATGTCAGTGATGATTCCGGTTGATGATCCTTTTGTATCGCGATATCATACGTCGAACATAAGTTTTGGACAAGCCACCTTATCTGATTCGACTGCTTTGTCGTTCACTGAGTTCGACTGTCTGAAATAGACGAGTTCGTCTATAGTGCGGCCACACATTTCTACAGTCTCGCTCACACGAGGGGCCCAGCGATATCTCTCTCTTTTACGAGAGGTACAAATCCCGTCTTAACTATCTACAATCCAGTACATGATTCGTTTCGTACCTGACGCAAGACGTTTGACGTATTCAAAGTACGCAACTCCTCATGTTGGATTCCGTAGATATCTCATATCTTAGGATCCAATCATGGAACCGTTATATGAGATTCAAGTCATGAGTATGGAACCGTTATATGAGATTCAAGTCATGAGTAAGTCCATGTGAAAATCTCATGGGGGTCAATCCAGTATTCCGTTCTCCAACGAATACCTATGATCGTGATCGTATCCAATACCTATGATTATCTATATGATCATCAATCACACATCATACTAGTCTTAGTATATCATTATTCCCACAATGATACATGACTAGAGAGTTTAGTATTGTTCATAACAATACATGGATTTCATAACATATCACGTATGCACAATACGTAATGAAATAAACACTCATCCATAAACTAATAGAAAGTGTCAATACATCAAATGTATCTAAATAAAACTCGCATAACAGTACATCATAGAGCATTAAACCGACAAAACCAAATTAAACTATAATTTTGACGTGTTAATAATCGGAATGTCGCGTCATTACCCAGGATCAAATATGATACGAATATACGAGTTCATGATTTATTAGAGGATATCACGAGTTTGAGTATTAATCTTCTAAAATTAAAAAGTTCAGATTTTTTTTTTCCATTTTTCCTAATTAAAAACTGTAAAAAAACTTGAAACGATATTTATCTTGGAAAGGAGTGAGTCATTTATAGACGTTTATTTATAGTTTTTTCAAGGGAAAATGACATTTTCCTACACAAATCTAGTCAAATGTAACCTTCTCATGCACGTATTTTTAATTTGACAAAAAACTACATTTGAACTCAAAAAATTTCAAATATCTATACGAATTATTAAAACAGTTACATACATCATCATCATTTTGGTTAAATTTTTTTGGATTTTATTAACTAATGCGCTAACATATATGGTAATTATAATAATTACCTAACTAATGAATTAGTTAGCAGAAATCGAAATTTTTTAAAGAAAATGTGATTATATATGTAGAAATTTGAAAAATTTTGAATTTAAATATAGTTTTATGTCAAAATAAAAATACGTATATGAAAAAATCGCATTTTGCTAAATTTGCGTAGAAAAATATTATTTTTTCTTTTTTTAATTGTTTAATATAGATTTTGTTTCAATTTTCCGGAAATTTTAATTTAATTTATTTAAATAGTTGCTTTTATTGTTCATGGGGGTTTTAAAATTTAGGAAAAAAAATATATTTTAGGCTTTTAGCACTAGTTCCAGAAACTTGGCACATTTCGTTCGTAAACCACCATTCAGAGTCGAACACGTGTCATGTAGGGTTACAATGTCTGTCGCTATAGGACAAAGGCATGCAAGCAACCGTTATGTTATATATTGGTGTTATCACCGATCAAAACTAAAACTAGATATCAATTTTCTTATATATAGAAATAAACTATATCTAACTAAAATCCAACCAAATCCGTATAGCGTTTAGTTTATGTAATTATTACGGTACGGATCATATAACAAAAAAATATCTAATTAAATCTAATAAATTTGGTACACTAGTATAATCTCATTTCAGTTTTTTCTCTTGTTCTCTCAAATTTATTTATTTTCACAACTATATATATCCATCCAAAATGTAGTTTTGAATTCATAATTTTCGTGGGGGAAAAAATCCAAACTAGATACTACCGATGTTATATACTGACAATGTATAATGTCGTGAATTATTTTTTTCTAATGCACAATTTCACCGAACCTTTATTCTAATTACATATCTCAAAAAATCAGAAAAATCAGGACGAATATCTCTCCCATATTTGGATTTGAATTTGGGGTAAAAACATGTTTTGTATGTTTTATTATCAATATATAGATTGTCCAAGTTTGGGTATCACAAGTCATTTTCGATTCTGTAACAAAAATAAAAAGATCTTGTACATAATTCAAATCCAACTAAATGTTTTTCCACAACTTGGGCATATTTATATGTTTTCTCCTCATTAAGTTTTGGTTAAAATAATGAATAATGAGAAACAAGACTAAAGATATAAGAGAATAACGATTCTTGAAATCACACGTACCATACATTGCATGCAACTTGAGGAGAAAGAGAGAGAGAGAGAGAGAGAGAGAGAGAGAGAGGAGAATCAATGATGCTTTAATATTAAAATAAAAATGAACATAAAAAAATTATTGATAAAACTGGATAAATAGAGAAATCGAGAGACTTTTGGCATCCTCTCATGCCATTTTAAGCTCCTACCAATCTGCAATAAAAAAAAATTAAAATGAAATGCTACAAGAACGTGAAGAGTAACAAAATATGTTAATGTGCTAAATGAAGATATACATATATATAATATAATACACTTATCTAACTATCCATAACTATTTTTACAATAAAAAGATATAAACATCTTATAATATATTTTTTAGCACATGGTGTATAAAAAGTTATTATTATTTTAAAATCTCCAAAAAAAGTTTGATATGTTTGGGTCCGAATGGTCCGAACACCATTGTCGATACCAAAAAGTAAAATAATTTTATGATCTACAGACATGGCCGTCATGGTTATGAAAACATCCATAAGTAATAAATCATGACAACTATATTTAATTTAAGGAAAATCCCACAAAAAACACTGAACTTTACAATTTTGACAAAAAAAACACTAAACTTTAGTTTTTGTCAAATAAACATTAAACTTTTTAAACCAGTCTAAAAAGACATTGAACTTTTTAAATGATCCAAAAAATACATAAATTTTTCTATGATTATCAAAAAAACACTGAACTTTTTTAGTGATAAAAAAAAATATATGAACTTTTTCCGATTGTAACAAAAAACTAAGTAAAATAATCTGACGTGTTTGCATCTAATTGGGCCACGTCATTCCTTTTATTTATTTTGACAATCGTAGAAGAGTTAAGTGTTTATTTTGTCAAATTTAAAAAGTTTAATGTTTATTTGATAAAATAAAAAGTTCAGTGTTTTTTTTGTCAAAATTGTAAATTTGAGTGTTTTTTTTAGATTTTCCCTTTAATTTAATACATAACGCCTGTACATATACGTGACAAGGACATCCATGCACGTACAAGCATGTACACACATGCACGCGAACACTTACACGACATAATAAAGCAGATTAGTCTGACCAATGATCTCTCTCTCTGTATATATATATATATATATAGATATCATCCTTGTCTAAATAATATGGTGTGAGAATATTCACCTCGAAATCCTTCAAAGAGAGCAGGTGTAGCCCGGAGGCGGAGTCTTGCCGCAGGTCACAAGAAGCTGAAGAGCAATGGGAATGTAAATTTGGAGGTCAAGGGCTTTCAGCTTAAGCGTAGTGCAAAGACAAACTGCGGCCTCAACTTCAACAAGCCCTTGGACCAACGGACAACATTTGTTCACCGCTGGGTCCCCAAGCCCTATCGTCACTAACCCTCCAAGCAAATCAACGCAAGCCCCTAGCTTTAATGTGTCCACCGGACACGATGCGGCCTTCCCAGGCGGCGGCGGGCATGGCGATGGATTTCCTCCGGTCGCCGGTGGGTTCAACACTGGCAACGGCGGCAGAGGAAGGGGAAGCTTCGGAACTGTCACCGGAGGGACGGGAAGATTCGGGACGGTCACCGGAGGAACTGGGAGGTTGGGGACGGTTACGGGAGGGACAGGGAGGTTGGGGACGGTCACGGGTGGTACGGGGAGGTTCGGGACGGTCACAGGAGGGACAGGGAGCTTTGGGGAGGAGGAAGGAGGTTTTTTGTGGACCGGTTTGTCCTTGGGAGGGTTACAGGAGCCGCAAGAGAGGGAAGGGACAAAAGAGGAAATGCAGAGGGAGAGAATGAGGAAGAGGGCAAAGAATTTGGAGGACTCCATTTTTTCCGGCGAGTGAAGGTTAATCTCGGAGAGAGAGAGAGAGATTTAGGGTTTCATATAGGGAGAGGGAACGGGGAATCACGTGAAGATGGTACTACACTGAGAAGACATGAAACCAAATTTTGCTAGTTGTCAATTATCATAAGAATACAAAATACCCTGTTAATGACACATCGCTGTTTTGTCTTGGCGATCTACATTTATGTATATGACCCGTTTTTGTTTCCACTATTTTTTTGGCAATTTGATCAATGGCTCGTTTGGAAGAACAAACTACAAGAGTGTAATATTCATTTTCATGGTTAGAAATATTGTAGATTGAGATATTGAGCTTATAATGTGTGCAAAAACTGTCATGATGCCGTTCTCGTCCGGCCTATGGGTTGAGAGGCGTTGCGATGTCCGGTGTCCGCCCCGAAAGGTTGTAGGATAGGGTTTCCATCGTAAAAAAAAAAAAACCGGTAGATCAAATAATTGAAATGAGATGAGTTGGCTTTTGCTCAATATATATATATATATATATATATTCTTCATGGGTATATCTCTTGACGTGGCATTTCGGATATGGAGGGGAAAAATTATCAAATATATGTTCTTGTTATTTTCGTGAAAACCCATGGGACAAAAAGATTGAAAGTGAGCCTAGAAAGTTTAGTCATAGAATCTACTGTCCTTAGGAGATATTTAAAGTAATTATCACATCACCTTTTCTATTTTTCTTTTCTGATTAAAAAGGGATTTAATCATCTTATGCATTTCTTTCCTTTTAACCACTATACACATTGGTATTTCAAAACTTTGTTTTTATTTAGTCTGGATTTTTTCTAGTTCCTTTTTTATTTCATAAAAATAATTCTACTCAAATTTTAGCGGCTCGTTTCGTTTTCTATCAAGATTCCATTTGACTTCATTTTTGTTACTTATTTTCTAAAAAAAACACTTTAATTTACAAATGTTTTTTTTGTTATTTTTATATTTGATTCGAGTTCAATTAATTTAATTTTAAAAAAATATGCACAATCAATTTTATATCGAATTCGATTTAGATATATGTTATTTCGTTGGGTGTAAATATACAAAACCAGAATGTAGATACTATCTCAGAGAGAAGAACATGACTCGTATGTTTCTTGGTTCTTTGCAAGTTGTATTTTTCATCTTTATAGAAGAAGAGCCATGAAATTAAAAAAAAAAAATCAAGAAGCTATCATATTCAACAGGAAATTATACAATTGTTTCTCTCTGTAATTCTTATTATAAATTAGTATGAACCCTAACTTATACCACTAAAGCTAGTTTTAGAACAGAGATTTAATCTCAACTTATACATTAGTGCGGATCCATATAATATCAGTTTAAATGTTACTACATAAAGTCCGTACAAACGTAAATTTTATTTATATAATTTCTAATAGTATGCCAATTTAAACGTGATCACTTTGGGGTTTGAAATTTGTTTAAACGAAAGATTTAAAAGAAACCCTAAATTTGGTCAATGATGATTCCCATTTTGGCAATTAATTTTTTTTTTTTTATAACATGGGAACCCGACTACTGTTTGTCCTTTGGATGCGTTGGTTGGATAAATCCTCGTCTAAGTGTATGAGTCCGCGACACACACATAAGATGTGAATTAGTTGTAATTAACGTATGACAAATGAATAAATAAAGAGTCGAACCCATAACCTATTAGATGTAGGACGAACTTCTAGCCAAATGTCTTGGAGTTTCCCCACATTTTGGCAATAACTTGAACTAAAGATTCGGATTCAACTATTTATTAAAAACCAAGAAAGAGGAGAGAGAAGTCTCCAACTCAGTTGAAAAATGACAAATCCCCTCTACACGAAGTTGTGGATTCGATTTCTTCTTAGATCTGAGCTTCTCCTAAATCGGTTAATTTCGAATGGTTTATCTACTCTGTGTGGTTTGGTGATTACAGCACAAGAATCGGTGAGTTTTATGCCGATGAAAGAGGAGAGAGGATAGAGAGTGTTGTTGGATTGGAAAAAAGAACAGGAGAATGTGATTGAGGGGACAACGAGGCATACATGTGAGAGATTGGGTCCCGAGGAAGATGGCATTGTTTTGGTCTCTTATGGACATATTGCATGGTCCATTTTTTTTTTTTTTGATATCTAGGATAGTTTTCCGGGACTTCGTCCCGACTATATCCACTCTAGGCCTGGGATCAATTTTTGTATATGGACTATTTTGGTTCAAAAATTACATCTATCCCCACTAGTGAAATCGAACCCATGATTTTAAGGATGTCTTTGTCACCTCTTGACCGCTGAACCACCAACTGTTGGATTTTTTTTTCTTATACTATCTTTTTATGTCTTGTCTTTTCGCCCCACATTTTCTCTTTCACCCCGTTTTTTATTTTGATTTTTTTACTTCCACTCCTACATTTTTCTCTTACGTTATGAAAAATTAGTATTCGAACTTTCGATCTAATTTTACCAAATTCTAAGAGAGAATAGCGGATCCGGTGCATTAGTTTTGGTATGCACACAACTTTCCCACTATAATTGCCTAATGAAATGACATTAGGATTCGTGAAAATCGTATCAATCTCAGATATTTCTCTGTTCTTTGTTCTTGGACGATCTAAGGCATAATGGATTTCGGATTGGAGATCTATTTGTTAGTTATTTTAGAGTAGATTGGTGGAATTTAAAATCTCTCAAAGGATTCTTGTTTCACGTGTATTACAAGTGTGGTGGAGGAGTAAAATGCTTGTAAAAGACGTGTCGTGAATTGATTAAGTGTTAAGGATTAGTCGGAAGATATTGAAGGTGGCTCGTTTGGCTCGGCTCGTTTGGCTCGTTTTTTCCGATAAAACAAAACTGGAAAAAATGAGCGACCGCTCAAAAAATGAGCGACCGCTCAAAAAATGAGCGACCGCTCGGAAAATGAGCGGGTAGCTCATTTTCTCTGATGAACAAAACTGGAAAATGAGCGACCGCTCGAAAAATGAGCAACCCGCCTGATTTTTCTGAGTTGTTCAAATGAACGAAAAATCGTGTCTGTTCGGAAAAAAACTTCCCTATCCTTGCACTTTTTGACTTTTGGAGTGTTAAAAACATTCCTAGACGTCTGAACACATAAGGATGAAATCTAATTGAATTTTGAGAGATTTGTGAGCCTTGTTGGTGAAGAAACTTGCTACTTCTTCTCCATCTTTTACTGTTCATCTTCTTTCTCGAGTTTTTCTGTTTCGGGCAACGTTTGAGGAGCAGATCAATCGTTGCTGATCTTCTTTGTATCTCTAAACGTATTCTCGGGTTTCTCCTTTGCTCGGTGGGGAGGGAATAACGTTTTAGGAAAGTGTTCTACACGCCTAGAAGATCATATCCGGTTCTTTCGTTTTTATTTCGATTTCATTGTTTTTATTGTTCTTTCTTACTGTATCCAGACCCACATTTATCTAACACTATTACCAGCAAATTTTTCGGAATAATGATGATATAGAGTGGATGTGGAAGAGAAATGACAAAGGGAGGAGCAAATCCCTGAAAGTAGTTTTGTGGTGAATTTAAGATTTCGATTCTAACGGCTAAGAATTCGCAACCATTTATCTTTCGAGGCCCCCCAAAGGGTTATGATGATCCATTTGTTTTCTTTCTTCTCTTTATCATGTCCTTTGGATAGACCCTCAACTCTGCCTCATGTTTTCTTAGGCTATATATATATATATATATATATATATATGTATATGTGTATATATGTATATGTGTGTGTATAGACGGTGTATATATTGGATCACAGTAAAAGTGATGTACCTTGGAATTCATTTGTCAGATCCAGACACTGGACTCGCCTTCAGAATCTTTCCCACGAACGCTAATCTTGCTGTCGCCTTCGGGACTTGTGTCGAGAGCTGAATCCAATCCTCGACGATGGCTTATCGTTCAACCTCCCCTGTTCATACGGTCCTCGAATTTCAGATATTATTATTCCAAGAGAATAACTGCTGAGTGAATACACTTTGACACACACACAAAAAAAAAAAACAAAGGGTTTAAAGACGTTATTATTACACAATCATCAACACAAATGAATAATCAAATGATTTCTTCCAAAGACAAAATGGGAAAAAAAAATACAAATACTATTTACCATGTCAAAGAAATCTCTATAGCTACAAACATGATCAGATCAGATCAGATCACAACGCATACGTGTATATATTGTACAATGACATGACATCCTCCCCTGTTCCTCGTACCTGAGTGGGGGTATATCCAATACCACGGGGTTTGCATATCAATAGTCACAGTATCAAACCTCAGAGAAAGCTTGAATAAGGATTATAACCCTGAACCGGAACGCCATGTCCGTATGTATTCGTGTTACCGTTGGAGACGAAAGGGTTGCTGCCATAAGGGTTCGGATGTTGCAGAGGAGGTCTCATCGTCATTCCCTGGTTAGGTTGTCCGTACATGAACCCCTGTTGATGATGATGATGATTCCCCATTGATGACATCTGAAACGAGGGAGGAGCTGAGACTGTGGGGTTAGAGGCAAAGAAAGGGTCCTGGTGCATCATCGTGGTCTGGACCATCGAGCCGTTGTGAAATGAGGCTGGTTCCCACGGGTTGTAGCTTCTGGTCTGGTTGCTCGCTCTGATTGCATCATCATATAGGCTGTCTAGTGTGAGTTTGTCCAGACCACCCGCCTTTTTCCAACAAAAAAAACACACACACACACACACACACACCAAGAGTTCATCGATGTGATGTCCCGAGGAACGGTACAAACAACCCTTTTAATAGTGCTATGGAGAAAACTTAACGGTTCATGAGTCCAAAAACCTGGAACAGAGAATAACAGTATGACAAAGTTACCAGTTTGCTATTGGCAGCAGCATGTTCATTTGAGCTCGGGGTGGTTACAAGCGCCAGTTCCCAACCGGTCGAACTTACATTCGTTCCAACAGTTGCCGAAGTTGGTTGATCATCTGAAAATATACATTACCCACGAATGAGATGGATCTCGAATTCTGCATTTGATGAAAACCCGGGTTTCAAACTCTATATTACTGAGAGGAACTTACAAGTGACGGGGACAATAGCCAAAGCCAATGCATTTTTCTCTTCTATTTCCGCAACCACGGGGGCCGGGTCATCCAAAGACTAGTAGTAATCATAACATTAAACGAGTCAGCAAAGCTCGAAAGAAAGAAAAAACTACACCATGCTAGAGTTAGCTAAGGAATTGTACCAGCAAATCAGGTTGTTGAGCAACGGGCTTCTGTGTCTCCTCTTTAACCACTTCTGGAGGAGGAGGCGTTGACGGTTTCTCTTCAACTACCTCCGGAGGCTTTTCGTACTCTATGGCCAAAACTTCTTTAGGAGCCGTAAGTTTATTGCCAACAGCCTATCGTTGTAAATGAAAGTGTTAAAAATCAACTCAGGCCAAGTGGAAGTTCATGAAGATCGGTTTAGCATGATATCAATTCAAAGGAGATATTCGTCGGGTTTGGATAAAAATGGTTCTCTGTAAGTGGCAGAAAAAAAAAACGGAAAGGAGACAGTTTGATAAGTTAAACTCTCTTACCAGCTCCTTCTTAACTCCTACGGTCAATGGAGCTTCCATCACATACTCTTCCATGGCTTGTAGAAAAGATGCGGGAGGCTACATAAAACCACGAAAGAGATCAAAAAGAAGCTCGAGAAGAACAGTACTAACAACATTCACGGGCACGAGCATGAAAATCTGCACCTGTTCAATCTTTGTAAACCTGTCTCCACGTCCGATATAAATACTTTTGCAAACTTCGTAGAATTCTGACAGCCTCTCGGCCTGAAAGACGCCGTTTATACCATAAAACTTACTTTACCGTCATTCAAAATGCGTGAACGCACCAGACAGATGGATTTTAGCGACTATTTACCTGTTTTCCTGCCCGTCTGTAGATATCCAATGCCTTCAAAGCATCATTTCGTTGCATCTCGAAGAACTGCCATTACGGAACCATTGATATCCATGTAGAATGAAAAGATAGAGAACGGAGAACATAGAAACATTTGCCTACCTTATCGACCAAATTGTCTATGCCATTTGTTAGTGCTTGGTAAATTTTGGTGCTCTCGGAAGCAACCTGGTTGTTAAAACCGTAACCACGAGGACCCCATCAATAAAATAATTATAATTTACGAGAACGTGGATTAAGACCCGTTAGATATTTAGCTTACCATCGAGAGTGCCAACTGGATTATGTGGTTGTGAACCGATGCTCCTTCAGGCTGCAAAGATACGCCACCACACATTTCAAACGAGACGGGAGCGAAAGATGAAGAAACAAAAGTAGTGTACAATTTATTTCTAGAATACCCGACATAACTGGCAATCCATCTCTAAAAAAAAATTAGGGGAATGAATTGTAACCTGACAACCGAGAACACGGAAAAGGAGCTGCTGTAAAGCTGGTAGTTGTTCAAGCAAACCAGGAGTGTCCAAATCTTTGGTTCTCTGATTTAAAACCAAGCATTTGAGAATCCTCCAAGAAAAAAAAATCAAAATTTGCAGGAGACGATGAGAAACGGTCGTAAACAAAACTTACCGGGGCATCGATTTCAACATCATACTTCAAGACGCGGAAACACTCCAACCAACACAAATGAATAATCAAATGATTTCTTCCAAAGACAAAATGGGAAAAAAAAATACAAATACTATTTACCATGTCAAAGAAATCTCTATAGCTACAAACATGATCAGATCAGATCAGATCACAACGCATACGTGTATATATTGTACAATGACATGACATCCTCCCCTGTTCCTCGTACCTGAGTGGGGGTATATCCAATTTCTAAGAATAAGGCATAGGCACGGACCCATGCAGAGTAATCCCACGCTAAAAAGCAAAATGCGAAAAAAATGAGGGAAAGAAATAAAAAAAGAAAACGGCTATGTGAGAGATTTGATGGGAGGGAAAAAGCTACCATTTGGGCTGGAATCATCTTTGAAGTGAGACATGTTAAGCATATGGCTCCTGCTTCTGCTGTAGTTAATAACTTCTTCGTGAAACGTCTGGTCCACTTCCCTCAACGCACGGTGAATAACGATAAGAGTTTTCAGTGCAACCTGAATAGCCAAAGAAAAAAAGAACGACAACCAACCGTAATCACAGCTTAATATCGGGATTTTCAACTCAAACAAAGAGAAAGTTGCATTCTCTTTACGACTATGTGGAAGCTGAGAAGATAGCCCAAGATGCATATTGTACATAATTAACAATAACAGAATTCACATTCACTTGTCATCCGGATGGATTCCAACAAAACATCTTCAAATTTTTTTTCCGCATTTCTATTAACTAAAGAAAATGAAAAATAGACAGAAGTCCAAGAGATACGAAAGCGAGATCATACCGCCCAGTTATGCGTTCTTGATAGCCGTCTTGCCAAAGCATGGATGCAATAAGCCACATCCGCACGAGGCCTAGTGGCTGAAATAGCCATGAAAATAGCTGCAAAGAGACGGTATCTCAACTCAAGCAGTTAAGCTGTTTCGTTTTTACAACTCTTCAGCATATAAAACTCAAAATGGACAGGATGCTCCCGAGTTCTGACTTGGCAGCAAGATATATGTACCTCTGATGTACTTTTCATTCGAAGGCCGCTCAACATGATTAGTAGCCTTGACAATAGCAATATCCAATTCCTACAAACCAGGACCATTTTCATGATCAAGAGGAACCAAAACCATTCATTGATGTTCTGAAATTCGTGGAACCCCCACAATGTTACCTTGTAATCGCTATTAACCTTAGCTAGTGAAACCGTGGTGGTATCCTTGATAGCTCCCAAATATTTTCTTAAACTGCTCTGCGATCCTCCACCCGACATGATTTTCCTTTTGTCCAAACCAAGAGAGCCTGAAGCCAATCAAATGGCAGACGATGTGATCGAAATTCTCCTAAACCGTTGAGTTTCACGAAAGATCATTTGACCATATACATGATCGAATCTTCTCTACTTTGAATTTAAACTGATATCTAAAGATGCCAAATTAGATCGAAATTCAGCATCTTTTAGCCTTAAATTCTTCTGAAACACAAAACCCTCGTGTTAAAAACAAGAACAGGCAGAACCTACTCATCCGTTCAAATTCCAAATTCTTCATGAGCAAACCCACAATTAAAGAATCTAAATTCAGCTAAAGAATCCAACTTCAACTCGAAAACGGCATTGATCTCTTCCTTTTTCATCGGTTTCCATAAACCCTCGATTCAATTCACAGAGATCATAAATCTAGTGTAAAAGCCGACAAACCCAATATGATCCAACCATAAATACCATAATAATTATCGATCTGAACCAGACAAAGGAAGCAGCCAACACAAGAAACAAGAAGTCAAACCAAAACCAGAAACACAGATCGAAAAGGACGAAACAGACTCAATCGAAATCGAGCTCGAAAAGAAAAAGGACACGAACCTGATTATGTTTTCTCGTAGTAGACCAGAAGAAAGACAACGAAACAACAAAACCCAGGAACACAGGGGCAGTAGCAAACGAAAAGATTCGACCACAAAATCAACCCCTTTCACAAAGGGATTCAAAATTTTGAGCAAAAGGCTTGCGACTATATATATACATACACGTGTATGTATAGATTACGCGATCGAGATCGAGATCAAGAGAGAGAGAGAGAGAGAGAGAGAGAAGGTACAGTGTACGACGAAATAGAACAGAAGTCTTAGCGAAAATGAGCTAAGAGCTAACGTGGTTTTGTTGGCCCGTCGGCGCCGGTGACTAATTTTCTCCTCCGATTTATTTATTTATTTTTATTTAAATATTGAAAATATTATTAATTTTTCCTTTAGGATATTACTAGGGTGGACGTTTCGGAAAACGGTTCGAGTTCGCGACGGAATGAATCGGTTTGGTTCTTTCGATTTTATAAAAATAGGTACCAATCGGGTTTTTTATTATATTCGGCTCGGTTCGGTTTCGGTATCGGTTTGGTTCGATTTCGGATTTTATTAAAAAATGATAGATTTCTTTTAAAAATATTCGGTTTTTCGGGATTTTTAAAGTTCGGTTCGATTCGGTTCGGTTTCGGAAAAATTCAGTTCTCTAAAAATGGTACCAGAAAAAATACCGTTTTAACGGTTCGGTTTGGTCCGGTTCCGAAGAACCGAACTGAAACGTCCGGTCCTAGATATTACTGACCGCTTGACATTTTTCCAGTTATGAAATATTATTATTATCGGGTAAATTAAATTATTCCCACTCTCTTTTTGGTAAATTTTGAAATCCAACTCTTAAATTCTCCTTAAATACTTTCTTTCTTCGTCCACTAAATTTGGAAGATTCCATCTATAATCTGTCTAAACGCCAGAAAATAGGAAGAGATATTTGGAATTCTAACAACTGAGTTTTTAAAATATACAACTGAGTTAGATTTAAAAATAGATGGGATATAATGAAAAATGAAAAATATATAATTATATTAATAAAATCCAATCAAATTCAAACAAAATTTAAATCCTATTAAAAATTGACATAAAATCAAAAACTATTTTTAAAAAATCTTATAGTTTCAAATTAATACTATTTTTTAAAAAAATATACAAAAACTTTTTTCACTTCTGTTTTAAATTATAAATTTTATAACGATTTGAAAAATACACCAAAATTTTAAAAAACGTTTGACTAATACCAAGCTCGTAGCTGAAATGAGTCAAACCTTGTGTTATTTGGGTTGAATTGTAGATATTTTAATTTTGAAATTTATGTTATTTTACAAATGAATGATAAATTTGAATTTTCATAAATAGAATTATGTAACAATAATTATTCTCGTAAAAAAGAACAAAGCCCTAAAACATAATTAATTTGAAATATAAGAGGTATAATTAGTGATTATTAAAAATGAAAGGATAATAGAGAACTAAAGATATTATACGTCAATGTGTAAAAAATCATATATCTAACTAATATAGTTTTGTTAATCATTAGTTTTCGATAATCATTGTTAAAAGTCTCTTACACATATAATAAAAAAATTAATTGAAAATTAAAATTTTAAAATAAATATAAAGATTTATAAATATTTCTTTTAACTTGATATAAAAAGTTTAAAGTTAAATAAGATTTGATTTTATATTCTAAACCATATACAAATATACTAATTTACTATCAACTTTCAAATCAATACAAAATTTTAAAATTATGAGAAAAATATACAAACTTTTTTTTAACTTTCAATTGAAATCATAAAAATTACAAAGATTTTTCTAAATTAACAAATTTCTTTTATTACAACTTTTAACCTAATTATTATTTTAAATTCATAATACTAATAAAAAAATTAACCTTTAGACCTTAGATATATCATAGAAAAAGTGTTAAACCATTGATCGATAAATCTTGGAAAAAAAATGTTTTTTTGTTTGGTTTTTATTTTATATTTAGGCTTAGACTCACCCAACCTTCAAACTTGACCAAGTCTAATGAACCTTCTTCTGATACTCCTCCAATATTTCGAAGTCATTTAATTAATTAATAATTCGTTCATATAACTCGTTTTTGTATACAAGAGTATCCCCCAAGACAAATATACTACATATTCCTAAGAAATCATATAACAATACTATACATTATACAAAAATTAATTACTCTATAATCACAATCTCACGATTTAAAACTCCATCTACACTTGGTTTACAATCAACTTTTTTACCGTTTAGTTCCATTTAATCAAAACAAATTAGTTTAATTCATAGTAGCAACTAAAACAGATAGAAATCTATTTTTTTAGATAATACGATATAAATTATATATGCATACCAATTTTTGTTTGGGTTAATACAATTTATATTCCATCAAGCTGTCAAAGGGGATGTAGTAAATGAATAGAGAACACATGTAAATAAATAAACTATCAAGTAATTGATTAATCATTTTGTACCAGTGAATATACGAGTTTTAATTTTAGTATATTAATACACCAATTATGTTATGGTTTCAAATATAGCCATGAACATTTTGAATTTATAAGGGATAGACCTTCTCTTACAGGGGCTCATGAGCGTAGGCAGAAGCTCGGGATAAGAGGAAGCCGGATCCTGAGCCTTTTCCACCTGCTTCCGAACAGAGAAGGGTGCAAACCCAGTATGTGTTCCGGCATGAAATCGTGCCTCGTCAATATTCCCACCACCGGAGGCCTCTGCAGATACAGCAAAAAAAAAAAAGCTAACCAGTCAAAAGGCGAACATAGTCGATCCAGGGTTTTGGGTTTTGGGTTCGGGTCAGATCAGAGCCGAACAGTTGCAAGAGGAACGGATTAGAATATGTTAGATATGGAAATGGAGAGGCAAAGGGTTCTTACATTGGAGACCTTTGGTATGACCAGTAAGTGTCGCAGGCCGACCTCCCGGAAGAGGACGAGGGCTTTTGCAAGGGACATCGTCTCCACGACAGTGTAGGGTGAAGCATTAGAGAACGGATGCAAATCCAAATACATATTCATCTCTTCTTCTGTCAAATTTATGTCTTCTATTCCATCGCCAATGCCGGAACCCTTCTTCGCAAAATCGTCTGCCGTGAATTTGGCAAGAACATCGGGGCCGGATGGAATGGGATGTGACAAGAAAACCCGCTTCTTTAGCAGCGTCAGAATATGAGAACGGAGGACCAGACCGTAAAGAACCGGAGCTGCAGAGAAGGGTGGTTCATCGACCACGGGAAAGCCATTATGGTTGGTAGTTCTAAGAACATGTACTATGTTCTCGATTTTTTCGATGCCATTGAAGACCCGAAGCGGGCCAGAGACGACATCACTAACAGTAAGCTGCCTCATGTAAGGCTCCGCATGTGTCTGCAAGTACGGGAACCCTTTAATCTTCATGATGAGGTTGTAGATGTTGGGATTGAAAGCATCGGCTACGGTTTTGGAAATCAGAAGAACCAGCATCATCATAGGCAGAAGCAGAAGGTTATTGGTCAGCTCGAGGAGGATCACGCACAAGGAAACCGTCATCCTCATTGATCCACCCAGAAAAGAAGCGGAACCAAGCACAGCGAATAGACCGTGATTAAGATTCGAGCTTGAACCAAGTAACATCCCGACAAGCCTTCCATATGAAGCTCCCGTCACGATGACTGGCACAAAGAGACCCGCAGGAGCAGCAATGCCATAGCTCAAGATGCTGAGAAAGAAGCAGGTGACAAAGAATATGAGAACAGAGAGGTAATGGAACTCATACTCAGTGTTCTTGCTGAAAAGATTTTTTATAGCATCGTCATTTGTGTTGAAGATAAGGCTTGCAAGGTCGTTGTAGTGACCCGGGGGACATTGATATTTCTTAAAGTTGCCCGACCGGCCAATCGTAGGACAGTCTTCTGATGCACCCAGCGGGCAAGGTTGACAGGGAGCAAGGAATGGTAATCCGAAAAGAAGGCAGGATGTGAAAATGGAAATTGCACAAGCAAGGAGAATTCTCCAAGCAACACCTTTCCTACAAGAAAAAGAAAGCAGATATTCAACAATACTAAGTCAGATGATATGAGAACTTTGAATAAATCTGTTTATGTATATCCATGTGTGCATGTGTTCATCTCTATGAGAAAATGAATAACGTATATCTGCAAGGATGGCTTACTCGTTAATGAGATTGTATGTTCGCAGAACCTTCTCGAGCAGAAAGTTGTAAATGCTTCCCAAGATGCCCCCGAAAAATCCAAGAAGAATAACAGGAGGCACATCTCCCAAATGATATGGCACACTTTTTGAATAGACATCGAACACTATTAGGCCCCCTTTACCGAATAACCCACATTTTCCACTTAAACAAACATCGATTAGAGCCCGAAGGATGATTGCGACCACAGCTGTTGTGAAGAAAGTTCTCCATAAAAGCGCGCTCCGCCACCTACAAAGAAAAAGTACTTAAAGAATGGTGGTTGGAGAACAAGAAGACGAGTAACCAAAGCCATGAATGCTAGTGAATGGGAATCACAGATAACGAACTTATCCTTTCAACTATAATGTGACAAACAAAGAGATTTTGACGTGAATACAGAGAGCCTCGGTTGGTCGAAAAGCTTATTTGTTTGTCGGGAGATTTTAGATGCAGAACAACTTCACCCACCAAGAAGACATTTCCTCGAGTGCAAACAGGACACCGCCGACTGGGGCACGGAACGAGGCAGCAATACCAGCAGCTGATCCACAAGTCACGAGATCTCTTCGATCTCGGTCATTTTTGAAGTAGCGGAGCCATTTCCAAGTCAAGCCATATCTCTTGGAGCCACCCTGACCAAGCAATGATGCCACACATGCACCGGTGTGCACCATCGGTCCTGCCTTTCCTATGAGAAGAGATCCTGATACTCCAGATACATTTCCCACAATCTGCGTCCCGAGCAAACAGAAATGACAACAGGACAATTCCAATCAGGACAAGACAGGAGATCCTCCTAACGAAACAATGCATCAAGAACAGCCTAAAAGAACAGGCATCAAGGCTTCATGGATTCAAGCTAACAGTCAAGACAGATATCACAACCATAGAACCGGGGAAACAGTGGATATCGGGCTATTGATCAGAGAAACCAGAACGTAAACATTGGGAGCATTCATGTGAAAGATGAACACAGAAGATGACAACAATGAACAACCCAAAGGTCTCTTCTCTCCATAAGATTCGCTCACTAGTTTCTAGCGTCAACTCCCACATATTTCACATTGTATCTACTTCAATACATTGGTTTAAACTACACAACACAAAGTCATTACCTTGACAATCAGTGTCCGAAAGGAGAATATCCCAGGTGCATCTACGCCATTCAAGTAGGCCTTCACTTCCGGTATACCGGAGCCAGCCGCCGCTGGCGAAACAAAAGCGGTGATGACCGATGCGAACAGAGTAAGAACCAAATTTGAAACAGTGAAAACGAGAAAGCCCATTCCAAACCTAAGAACACAATTCAACTCTCCATGAATAGCCTTAACAAGCATATACACTAATTGAGATGCATCAGAGCTACAAAGGATCAACCACAAGAATGAATTCCAAACAAAACGACCAGAAATTCGAATCACCTTCTGGACAACATCATGTTCGAAGTAACGACGAACTTAACCCCGGCGAGATTCTCAACGGCGAGATTGATGGCGAAGCCGATAAGGCTAACAATCACTCCGAGGAAGAAACACAACAGCCACTTCATGAACACGTACTGGAAAATCTGAGCCTTACCACGAGCTCTCCAATCCTGCTTGAAGAAATCATTCTCCGCAATCCTATAAAAACCACCGAAACACCAAATTCGAACCTAAGAATCCAAAAAAAAATCCAAAAAAAAAAGAAGAAGCTAAAAACAGAATCGATGTCGTACTCGTAATCAAGGCTTTCGATCGGAGAGACGTCGGAGCCGACGATGGCGACCTGAGAGGTGGAGTTGGTAGCGGAGCGGAGGAGAGGGACGGAGACGGAATAGCTGTGGCGCTCCGCCGTCAAATTCGCGGTGTCCGACGACATCGCAGCGAACGGAGAAGACGAGTTGAATTTGTTTTCTCTCCGAAAAGAAATAAATAATTAAATGGGAATTTATTATGGAGAATGAAAGATGGATATATCGACTGCGGGTTGGTGCTTGTGATAATCTCGCTAAGGCCATGGACGGTTGCACTTCAGCAAATGGTATCATTGAAAGTATAATTTACAGTTAGGAGTTAACAAAACAGGCAAAACCCCGAGCTCGACCCGACCCGACCCGAATGTATTTTCAAATTATTAGTCTTTAATAAATATTTAGAATCCGTATAGACCAGATTCACAATTTATAAATGGAGTATATGATAAATTACAAATAAATTTCAGGATTTTTAAAATGCAATTTGTAAGAAAACTACTTCCTTTTCATAATAATTGCTGTTTTAGACAATTATTTTTATTTCTATATATGTCGTTCTATTTTTTCTAGTTAATTTTTGAGAAAATTCCTCAATTTTTGAAAATCTACCACCAAAAATCCCTAATTAAAAATTTACCATGTAAATTCCCTAATTTCAAGATCACTTCTAAATTAGTATCCGCAAACAAACTCCGTTAATTTACTGTTACGGAATCTGACGTGACATTATAATTTTCACCACATAAGTGATAGGTATATAAAAAAAATTGACAAATCGAGAAACCGAATTTAATTAAATCGGTTTACATAAACCGGTTTTTTATACCAAATTTTTTAAAAAACCCTGATTTTTATGTCAACTCCTTTTACAGTCACAATTGGTTTCATTTTTTGTTTTTCCTATTGATCCTGAAATAAAAATCTACGCAGACGGCAGATGGCAAGAGGGAAGATGAAACCCGAAATTAGCCCACTAATAATCATCCCCTTTCCCCTCTGGAAAATTTTCTCGGCAACGAGAGCATACCAACCTCGATTAACCCAAGAATTAGCCTAAAAGGTTCATCCGTTTTTCCATTTTCTCGGCATCCAAACAGTATCTGAAGACGCAGATCCCTCGGGGCAGAGAAATGACAACATTTAAACCGAAGAATCAAAGTAGAAAACAGAAGGGTCCAAATGGAGAAGAAGAACGAGACTAGAGGAAGAAATTATGATGAGAAGAATATGAGAGGGATAGTTTTTGTTAGGGGTGTAGCTTTAAGTTTGGTTTTTCGGAATCGAACCGTACCAAACCGAAAAATACGGTATTTTTTTTATTTGAACCGTCTAAAATTTTCGAACGATATTTAATTTAGAAAAATCGAATTTTCTGAAAGCGAATCGAAATTTTAAAAAAATAAATAAAAAGATCTAATTGTTTTAATTAAAATCAAAACCAAAACCAAATATAATATAATAACTTATTGGTATCTATTTTTATAAAATCGAAAGAACCGAACCGAATCAATCAGAATTTAATACTGAAACATCCAACCCTAGTTTTTGTCATGAATTTCACGTAAATATATATAAGCATATTCTCCAAATTGAAGATGGACCATGAATCCACCGTGTTGTAATCATTTTTTTTCTTGAAATTGATCAAATGCTTCACCTACTAAGAGATTTTATTTTACATTAGCAACAACAATGAAATCAATGATTACTCCTAAAGGAGTTAACATAATATCTCCTTCGTATCCAAGATTGGGTGGCTCAACCGGTAAAGAAGAGAGTAAAGTTTCTTTCTAACCCGAGTTCGAGAATGAAACTTTCTCATTTCTCTAGAAAATGTAGTCGGACCAAAAACCCGGTGAATTTTCGGATTATAAAAAAGAAATATATTCCTCGTATGGAACGATGAGAATAAGAAAGGAGAGATAATTAAAGAAAATTAGGTTTTTAAAAAAATGTATAAAAGACCGGTTTATATAAATCGATTTAATCAAATTCGGTTTGCTGGTTTGTCAATTTTTTTATATGACATCTACGTGTCATTTATGTGGTGAAATTATAATGGTGCGTCACATTCAGAAGCGTCACTTTAACGGAGTTTGTTTGTAGGGATTAGTTTGGAAATAATTTTGAAATTAGGGAATTTACATGACAAATTTTTAATTAGAGACTTTTTATGGTAGACTTATAAAAAAAAAAGGGGGAATTTTTGTGAAAATTTTCCTTAATTTTTTAAAATAATTCCCAATTTTACCTTTAATCAAAATTACCACAATTCCAATAAACTATTAATACATTCGTATCATCAAAATTTAATAAATATTAATTATATTTCAACTATTATTATCTATAAAACTATCTTTCCTTTTTTTTCTCTATAACTTTATAAATATAAATAAATAAATTTTAAAAATTGATAATCTCATAAAAACTCTCTAGATAAAAATTCAAAGATAATAATATTTTCAATAGAGATTCATTTTAGAAAAAAGAAAATAAAAAGATATATTTAGATTATATTTATCTGAAATATTTGTAGAAAGATTCGGAATCACGTTTGGATCAATAACGTAAAAATATTAATATTAAAATCACCAAAAAATATTTAAGCGAGCATAATTTTTTATTTATTAAAATTACAAAAAAAATATTTAACAAAAATATTAAATAAAATATATAATTTTTTTTATATTTTCTTAAGATCCACTACCTTTGTTGTCTAGAATACATGTTTGACTTTTACTTTTTCTATTATCATATTCTTTTCCAGATAACTTCGATTTTGGATATAAAATTTGTTGATTTTGATTTTTTTTTGTTTATTCTGATTTCTTCATTCTCATGATAGTGTTGTTTTTGGATCTTCCTATTTATGATATCTTCATGTTGTGAGAATATCATATTTTTGAGAATATTATAAAACTGGTACGTATCCATAATTTTATTTGAAAAAATCAAACCTGTTTTTTTTTCAATAGAAGAATTTTTAATTTTATATGTTAGTTCAGTGGTTAGTTTTTAATTCACTTTCGAATGTTAAAAAAAGAAAGAAATTCAGTATGGATGTTAGTTCAGTGGTTGGTTTTTAATTTTATCAGTTTAAAAAAAAGAATTTAGTTTGGATGTTTTTTTTATGAATGTGTAAAATATATGTCCGTTATGTTTCTGAATTATTTTCTTTTTTTAGGTTTGCAATGGATGATATTTCCAACGATCCTATTGCTGATGAGACAGAATGTGATCACCAAGAGACAAAATTTGAGTATCGAATATCAGAACATGAAGATGATGATAAAAAAGAACAAGTAAGTGGTTCAAAATGAAAAAAGTCTTTTGTTTAGGATCATATGAAACGCACAGATAAAGACAAAGCCATTTGCAACTATTATGGTAAATCATTGTCTGCTTCATCAGCTAGTGGGACATCACATTTGAAGCGTCATATCAGAGATTGCAGAATAAAGCCTAGATTTGGTAACGTGGCTAACATGATTATTGATCATGGTGGAAAGTTGAGAGAGAAAAAAGTTGATCAGACAATTTGGAGAGAAAAAGCTATCAAAATGATCATTGAACATGAACTCCCTTTCGCCTTTTTGGAGTATAAGATGTATCGAGAGATGATACAATATGCCCATCCAGATCCGAAAATGATAAGTAGGAATACTGTTGTTGCTGATTGTCTTAAGTTTTATGAGGGAGAGAAAATGAAGTTGAAGCTTAATTGGCTAGAATTCGTAGTCAGATATATTTGACCACTGATCTTTGGACTGCTATAACTCATGAGAGGTATATATGTTTGACGGGGCATTATGTGGATGATGAATGGAATTTGAATCGCAAGATACTTTCATTCACTGCTTTCCCTCCCCCATATAGGAATGAAAATTGCGAAGAAGATAATTAGTTATTTGAAGGAATGGGGTATTGAAAAGAAGGTGTTTTCAATCACCGTTGATAATGCTATATCGAATCTTGAAACATCGTCTTGTAGCGCAAAACATTTTATTAGGCAAAGGTGAACATTTTCATGTGAGATGTAGTGCACATATCCTAAATCTCGTAGTGCGGAGTGGATTAAAGGTGATTGATGGTGCTGTGGTCAAAATTAGAGAAAGTGTGAAGTATTTTAGAAGATCAGAGGCGAGGTTGAAGACATTTAAGGAATACACGGAATAAGTTAGTTGTGCTTCCGGCTCTTCCTTATCTATGGATGTGAGCACTCGTTGGAATTCATCTCATACAATACTTGATAATGCTCAGACATAGATATGTTTTTTATGGTCTTGTGGTGATTGATAAGCACTAATCCTACAGACGGGGAGTGAGTTAAGGCAGAAAAGATACGAGACTTTCTAAAGCCATTTGCTGAAATTACCAACTTGATTTCGGGTTCACGTTATCCAACTTCAAACTTATACTTCTTGAAAATTTGGAACATTGAGAAGCTCTTAAAAGAATATCAAGAGAGTGTAGATACAGAGATATTCAAAAAATGGTTGAGACAATGCAAGAAAAATTCGACAAATATTGAGATGAATATAGTTACATTCTCTCCATGGCAGTCATGCTTCATCCGAGAATAAAGTTGTAAGGGTTGAAATATTATTATGAACAACTTGACAAGAACACTGGTCAAACAAAGTTGACAATGTGAAAAGTAAGATGTTCTCTCTCTTTGAAGAATACAAGACCAACTTCGGGATACAAATTTCTAAAAGTTCTTCGCAATCCGAAGAGAGAGATACAAAGGAGGATGTAAGTTATTGTTTTTTTTTTATATTTGTTATTCTCATTTCATTATTGATTTATTTATATTACATTGTTTTTGCTCTCTTGATATGATAGGATGATTTGTTTGATTGCGATGGCGATACATCTTCTTTTGAGGATGGAACAAAGTCGGATTTAAAAAGTATTTGTTTGATATAAAGATGAACTCGAAACGGAACAAGAATTTGGATGTCTTGCAGTTTTGGAAGAGAGAAGTCGACAAATATGATAATGAATTAGCGATTATGACATCTGATATTTTGAGCATTCCAATCACTACAGTTACTTCAGAATCATCTTTTAGTATTGGTTCCCGTGTATTAAACAAATATAGAAATCGCCTTTTGCCATCAAATGTTCAAGCATTACTCTGTGCACTGATAACACGATTTTCTCATCTATTTCAAAGCCCATTGTGTAACACTTTCGCATCGGTTGTGTGCATTATTAGACATTTAGGATCATTTTAGCACTGGGTTTTGCTTCTTCTGTATTC